GACTAAACAGAAAACTGCACTTCCATTAGACCAGTACATCATGTCCTTACTATGAAATCACGTTCTCTCACACTTTCTCTCCCTCTCTACATACCACTCTCAATCATATACCCTCACCCTCTCAATCATTCTCTTTTTCTCCCTCCTTTTCTCACCCTTTCACCCTTTCATGACAACCTTAGCCACCTATCACCTATTCCCCTTCTGCTTGGTGTTAAGTCCCTATCAGAAAAGTTGGTTAGTAGATGAATACAATTTTTATAAGATGTACCAGAAATGGAAGATGATTTTAGAAATATGATCGAAATTTAAAAGTAACTGACATGAAATATATTAGATATATAATACTGAGCCACTTTTGAAAAATGTAGTTCTTTTATTTTCTACACATAATGGTCATCATAGCATTCGTACAAAAGATTAACAGCCAAGGTTACAGAAAGCCAAATTGTGTAATGTAAATTTGAAAATAGAATGCTATTTTGATTGATAATCATTATGAATGCCAAAAGTGTATATTTAACTCTTAATTTTGAAGTGTTTTTGGTGTGTTGATGAAAAAATATGTTGCAAAATATGAAAAAAATGTAAATGAAAAATGCCAAATGGTAACAAAATCCAAGTATTAACATATTTAAAGCAAAAAGCCAAATGAAAAAATGCCAAAGTTTAAAAATGCCAAATGGTATTTAAAAAAATACCTGTCTGCTTGTACTAGCCAGCCGGCCTGTGGGTTAGCTGGACTTTAAGGTGCTAGTTCACCAAGACAAATGCCCACAGTAAGACACCTTTCTTTTCCTTTTGGAGTACCAGTTTTTAAGTCTATGATTTGACTTGGGGGCTTAATTTTAACTGAAAAAAGATAAAAACAGTCTCCTGTACAATTTAAAAATTTTGTCATAGAAAGAAAATATTCCCTTTGCCCCCCCATTCCCAAATGGATAAAAAATTAAGTAAAATATCCTTCATTTCCCAACTAAAATGTTCATAAAATGGCCTATCCACCACACTTGGTCAGACTGAGCCACCAGGCTAGGCTCAGTCTTAAAGATTTTTTTGACCTAGCCATTGAGCTTGGCCAGATTGAGCCACCAGGCTAGGCTCATTGGGTAGACTGAGCCACCAGGCTAGGCTCAGTCTTAAAGATTTTTTTGACCTAGCCATCGAGCTTGGTCAGATTGAGCCACCAGGCTAGGCTCAGTCTTAAAGATTTTTTTGACCTAGCCATCGAGTTTGGTCAGATTGAGCCACCAGGCTAGGCTCATTGGGAAGACTGAGCCACCAGGCTAGGCTCAGTCTTAAAGATTTTTTTGACCTAGCCATCGAGCTTGGTCAGATTGAGCCACCAGGCTTAGGCTCACTGAGGAATCGCACTCAGTTCGTACAAATAGTAGAAGATACTTGATATGTATGAAAGGGGACGTTACTATACCTAAAAGGGAGGTATAGCATCTGTGAACCCTAAACACAGAGACCGGCTTAACTTCGCCATACATATCATGAATAGTATCCAACTACTGTGTGTACTTACTCAAATTTCTTTTCAGTCCGTCAACATTATCAAGATTATCTTGTAGACAACTATAAAATATGCATATTATTTAACAGAGTTTAAACTTGTTGCCATTTTTTTCTATTTTCTCTCTTTACAATAAAAGTAGATGGGCATAAACATATAGAACACTTCTGCTTATATTCATTTACCACAGACAACCTTTGATATGGAAATCTTATTTCATGTGTCACAAAAACTATACTGATTATATAATATGAGGTCAAGGTCAGGTAAATCCTGTCACCTTAAAATGATCAATTATACAGGTCAAAGTGAGGCGAAAACTGTAAAACATGCATGTTTTATGGTCGGGTTGTTGTCTGTTTGACACATTCCCCATTTCCAATCTCAATTTTATGTATTTCTTTCAAGCAATTAATATACCCAAATTATTCCTTAAATTAAAAAAGTAGTAGTCATCACACCTTGATAATACATTTTGTTTATTAAGTCTTTAAATCAAGGTCAAGGACAACAGGACTACTTCAGATCATTAGGCATCTGAATACTGATAACTTATCCGTTGGATATTCTGAAAAAAAGCTTTATTCACTCTACCATCAGTTTAGAATTTACATATATGATTATGTCCCATGCATTTATTATAGAAGCATAAAAACAGACACAGTGATTGAACAACAGCTATATAATTATCCTAGCTGTTATCAAATTTGTACATAATCATGCATGATCAGCCAGAAAATGATTAAAAGAGAAACATAACAGCTAAATATGCAATTCCAATTCAGATTCTGGAAAGAAAAGAACATTTCTCGATATTCATAGAAAAAACTTTGGAGTATCACAACCTGGTCATGCTGGTGTCATTCCGAGTAAGACAGAATACATATATTTAGCTGCTGATAACATTGATGAAAAGCTAAAACTCTTTCTAGTCACTGAGAAGTGCTACAATGTTTATATATAAGCAGCACATAAACAGTAACAAGAAGGGCTGTTAACCTGCGAAATTTAAGACAGCAGTAACTTATCACAAGTGGTTGCACTGTTAAATGACAAAAATAAAACATGTAAACTAAAAATTTTCGCAGGAAAAGGTACATTTAGTGGTTTATTTGGCCCAAAAATAAAACTGGTCTCTAAGTAACCGGATAGTCCTTAATTTGCATGAAATATTTGCTCTTGGAAATAAGGCAAACAACAATCAATTAATAAATGATTAATATATAAGTTGTTAGCCAGTATTTTACTCATAATAGGTAATGGAAACATCTGGTTTCAGTCATTTTCATATATATGAACAAAAAATCCTTATCAAAAGCATATATTTTTGAAAATACAAAAAAGTATCATGGAAATGATATTACTTGATTAAGATGGATCTTGTATTGTGTTGAGAGTAAATACATTTGTACATTTCTATTGTAGTCTAGCTAGCTCCTACCTGTATGTTTTGGATTGTTTTTTTTCAGCAGTATTAGCTCTTCTCAGACTAAAATTTCCAAACTGCTTCTCCATTCAAGTCCGACATGCTGTCATCTGTCATTTCCAAGTGTTTTACTTTGTCTCCTGTGCACTTAACATGAGTAACCATTTTATACTTTCTGCAAAGATAAAAAAAATCTTGTTATAATCATGTGAAAATATAATAGATATAAAATTATAACCAAAATTATAATTAATAGCCAAATTTTAATAATGATATTGCAATGAACTGTCACAGAGGCAACCTATTTTCCAATCTTTTGTATTATTTTTTCACCTTGTGTCCATTCATTGCAATTATACCATCTTGATAGACAAAGATGGAAGGATTATATGCACATAAATCTGGTTTAAGCACGACACATTGTGCTCCTGTACAGTCAGGCAGGGATCTTGACCATGTGTTGTTAGTTGTCTTTGTTTGCTCATCTTTATTTTCTCAGAGGAGATGGACCATTCTCCATCTGGCAGGTTGTCCCCAACATGCTCAACATAAACATGAAACTTAATAAATAGGCTGTTATTTTTTTGTTTGAATTGTTTCCCATTTTTCATGATGGGGTCTTTTATAGCTGACTATACAGTGTATTTTTCACAATTTTGAAGACTGTACAGTGGCTTATAATTGCTTACATCCACTTCATTTGAAAGCTGGTGGACAGTTGTCACTGATTGAACAACAGTATATTAATATCCTCAAATTTGTAAATCATCCTCAAAATCATGATCAGCCTGAAAAGGATAAAAAGAAACCTAACAGCTAATAAAATGCTCCGCTGGGGCGCAGCTTGATACGACCGCAGAGGTCGAACCCTGAACAGTTGGGGCAAGTATGGACACAACATTCAAGCTTGATACAGCACTGAATTTGGATTGTAATTAAATATTTGACACAGCATAGGTTTCTGACACAGAATGAAAGTGGTCTAAGAACTTAAAAATTTTCAATTTACCTATTCATACATGTGATGGACTGTGAAACTCAGATCAGGAGATTGGGAAATTTTGGTCAGGAGATTAGGACTCAGATCAGGAGGTTTTTAATCGACATTAATTTTGTTGTAAATGTAACCGTGTGCTGTAAAAATGGTCTTTTAAAGTGTGTTTTCTTCAACCTTCCATCCAATTTATTATGTTTATAGTACCCTTGTACTTATAAAGTTTCTCCATCTTTATATTCTACATGTTCAATCTAACATTGTTTTTTTCCAGTATGTTCTTTAAATTTTTTACTTCATATTCTATAAAACAATCATTGCAACTAGAACATTTTTTTAGCTGTCTGAAAATAGTTTTTATTTATTTTTTTTTTCTCTTGCAAATAGTTTTTATTTGCAAACTCAGAAATTCATTCTATCTGTAAAGTTAGGGTCATAGTTATTATATAAATTTCAATTTAAGCCTTAAAAGGAAGTATAGAATCCTCAAATAATTTTCAAATTATTATTTTTTTATTTGTCCTAAGACATTTAAAATCATTTAATAACCATCCTTTTATGATTATTTGTTCAATTTATATTTTATTTATATTCTTTTAAAAATTTTCATTATTAAAAGGAAAGTAACTTAAAACAGGATAAATCAAGGGAAGTAACCCAATAAATACACAGTTTTTGTTACACAACGGCAGTTAGCCTGAGGTAAAAATCGTTGCTTACCAGTATGTTTGACACCCAAGCTGACAAGTGAAGCCATATAATTATGCATGTTAATTGATTTACAGGTAAAATATAACTTCAGGTAATGTCAGTTACACCAGATGCCTGAGATGATATGTTGGGCAGAAATTTTTCATTCATGAAAAATTTCATACACGGGATTTTTTCCTCTTCAACGGGAGGTCGGGAGGAGACCCCTGAAAACGGGATTATTGTACTCCCGTCGGGAGGTTCACATGTATGCCTATTCAAACCATATCATTATTATTTGCTTTTATATATAAATCAGAAATAACCAATTTAAAATGGAAAATGTTAAAGAAAAAAAAGGAAAAAAAAAATCCCCCCCCCCAATTTTTTGAACCCCCTTATGATTCACCGCCCCCAAACTCAATCCCAGCTTTCCCTTTGTGGTATGGTACCTTGCACTACAATTTCAGAGAGATTCATACACTTGAACACAAGTTATTGTCTGGAAACTAGAAAAATGCTTGTTTTTTGGCCCCTTTTTGGCCCCAAATTCCTAAACGTTTAGGGCAATTACCCCCAAACTCAATTCCAGCTTTCCCTTTGTGATATGGAACCTTGCAGTACAATTTCATAAAGATCCATACACTTACACACAAGTTATTGTCCTGAAACTAGAAAAATGCATGTTTTTTTTGCCCTTTTATGGCCCCTAATTACTAAAATTTTGAGTGAAAACCCCCAAAATCAATCCCAGCCTTCCCTTTGTGATATGGAACCTTGTAGTACAATTTCATAAAGATCCATACACTTACAAACAAGTTATTGTCATGAAACTAGAAAAATGCTTGTTTTTTGCCCCTTTTTGGCCCCTAATTCCTAATATTTGGAGGAAATTACCCCAAAAATCAATCCCAGTATTCCCTTTGTGATATGGAACCTTGTAGTACAATTTCATAAAGATCCATACACTTACAAGCAAGTTATTGTCATGAAACTAGAAAAATGCTTGTTTTTTGCCCCTTTTTGGCCCCTAATTCCTAAAATTTGGAGACAATTACCCCCAAAATCAATCCCAGCATTCCCTTTGTGATATGGAACCTTGTGGTACAATGTCAGAGAGATCCATACACTTACACACAAGTTATGTCTGGAAGTTACAAAAATGCTTATTTTTGGCCCCTTTTGGCCCCTAATTCCTTAACTGTTAGTACCACAACCCCCAAAATCAATCCCCACCTTCCTTTTGTGGTATTGAACCTTATGGTAAAATTTCAATGAGATCCATTCACTTAAACTAAAGTTAGAGTGCGAAAACTAATGTGTATTCGGACGACGACGCCGGACGACGACGACGCCGGACGACGACGACGACGACGACGACGACGACGACGCCAACGTCATACCAATATACGACCACAAAAATTTTTTTGCGGTCGTATAAAAATGAATTCCAGTTCAGATTATTGAAAGAAAAGAAAATTTCTATATATACAGAAACTGATGCTAAAATTGATGAAAAGCTACAACTCTATCTAGTCACTGAGAAGTGCTACAATGTTTATATATAAGCAGCACATAAACAGTAACAAGAAAGGCTGTTAACCTGTGAAATTTTAGACAGCAGTAATTTCATGATTTAAAATTAACAGATTACTGAAGAAAACAGAAACTACATGAGACTAAACAGAAAACTGCACTTCCATTAGACCAGTACATCATGTCCTTACTATGAAATCACGTTCTCTCACTCTTTCTCTCCCTCTCTACATACCACTCTCAATCATATACCCTCACCCTCTCAATCATTCTCTTTTTCTCCCTCCTTTTCTCACCCTTTCACCGTTTCATGACAACCTTAGCCACCTATCACCTATTCCCCTTCTGCTTGGTGTTAAGTCCCTATCAGAAAAGTTGGTTAGTAGATGAATACAATTTTTATAAGATGTACCAGAAATGGAAGATGATTTTAGAAATATGATCGAAATTTAAAAGTAACTGACATGAAATATATTAGATATATGATAATGAGCCACTTTTGAAAAATGTAGTTCTTTTATTTTCTACACAAAATGGTCATCATAGCATTCGTACAAAAGATTAACAGCCAAGGTTACAGAAAGCCAAATTGTGTAATGTAAATTTGAAAATAGAATGCTATTTTGATTGATAATCATTATGAATGCCAAAAGTGTATATTTAACTCTTAATTTTGAAGTGTTTTTGGTGTGTTGATGAAAAATATGTTGCAAAATATAAAAAAAATGTAAATGAAAAATGCCAAATGGTAACAAAATCCAAGTAGTTAATATTTAAAGCAAAAAGCCAAATGAAAAAATGCCAAAGTTTAAAAATGCCAAATGGTATTTAAAAAAATACCTGTCTGCTTGTACTAGCCAGCCGGCCTGTGGGTTAGCTGGACTTTAAGGTGCTAGTTCACCAAGACAAATGCCCACAGTAAGACACCTTTCTTTTCCTTTTGGAGTACCAGTTTTTAAGTCTATGATTTGACTTGGGGGCTTAATTTTAACTGAAAAAAGATAAAAACAGTCTCCTGTACAATTTAAAAATTTTGTCATAGAGAGTAAATATTCCCTTTGCCCCCCCATTCCCAAATGGATAAAAAATTAAGTAAAATATTCTTCATTTCCCAACTAAAATGTTCATAAAATGGCCTATCCACCACACTTGGTCAGACTGAGCCACCAGGCTAGGCTCAGTCTTAAAGATTTTTTTGACCTAGCCATTGAGCTTGGCCAGATTGAGCCACCAGGCTAGGCTCATTGGGTAGACTGAGCCACCAGGCTAGGCCCAGTCTTAAAGATTTTTTTGACCTAGCCATCGAGCTTGGTCAGATGGAGCCACGAGGCTAGGCTCATTGGGAAGACTGAGCCACCAGGCTAGGCTCAGTCTTAAAGATTTTTTTGACCTAGCCATCGAGCTTGGTCAGATTGAGCCACAAGGCTAGGCTCATTGGGAAGACTGAGCCACCAGGCTAGGCTCAGTCTTAAAGATTTTTTTGACCTAGCAATCGAGCTTGGTCAGATTGAGCTACCAGGCTTAGGCTCACTGCGGAATCGCACTCAGTTCGTACAAATAGTAGAAGATACTTGATATGTATGAAAGGGGACGTTACTATACCTAAAAGGGAGGTATAGCATCTGTGAACCCTAAACACAGAGACCGGCTTAACTTCGCCATACATATCATGAATAGTATCCAAGTACTGCGTGTACTTACTCAAATTTCTTTTCAATCCGTCAACATTATCAAGATTATCTTGTAGACAACTATAAAATATGCATATTATTTAACAGAGTTTAAACTTGTTGCCATTTTTTCTATTTTCTCTCTTTACAATAAAAGTAGATGGGCATAAACAAATAGAACACTTCTGCTTATATTCATTTACCACAGACAACCTTTGATATGGAAATCTTATTTCATGTGTCACAAAAACTATACTGATTATATAATATGAGGTAAAGGTCAGGTAAATCCTGTCACCTTAAAATGATCAATTGTAAAGGTCAAAGTGAGGTGAAAACTGTAAAACATGCATGTATTTCTTTCAAGCAATTAATATACCCAAATTATTCCTTAAATTAAAAAGGTAGTAGTCCTCACACCTTGATAATACATTTTGTTTATTTAGTCTTTAAATCAAGGTCAAGGACAACAGGACTACTTCAGATCATTAGGCATCTGAATACTGATAACTTATCCGTTGGATATTCTGAAAAAAAGCTTTATTCACTCTACCAACAGTTTAGAATTTACATATATGATTATGTCCCATGCATTTATTTTAGAAGCATAAAAACAGACACAGTGATTGAACAACAGCTATATAATTATCCTAGCTGTTATCAAATTTGTACATAATCATGCATGATCAGCCAGAAAATGATTAAAAGAGAAACATAACAGCTAAATATGCAATTCCAATTCAGATTCTGGAAAGAAAAGAACATTTCTCGATATTCATAGAAAAAACTTTGGAGTATCACAACCTGGTCATGCTGGTGTCATTCCGAGTAAGACAGAATACATATATTTAGCTGCTGATAACATTGATGAAAAGCTACAACTCTGTCTAGTCACTGAGAAGTGCTACAATGTTTATATATAAGCAGCACATAAACAGTAACAAGAAAGGCTGTTAACCTGCGAAATTTAAGACAGCAGTAACTTATCACAAGTGGTTGCACTGTTAAATGACAAAAATAAAACATGTAAACTAAAAATTTTCGCAGGAAAAGGTACATTTAGTGGTTTATTTGGCCCAAAAATAAAACTGGTCTCTAAGTAGCCGGATCGTCCTGAATTTGCATGAAATATTTGCTCTTGGAAATAAGGCAAACAACAATCAATTAATAAATGATTAATATATAAGTTGTTAGCCAGTATTTTACTCATAGTAGGTAATGGAAACATCTGGTTTCAGTCATTTTCATATATATGAACAAAAAATCCTTATCAAAAGCATATATTTTTGAAAATACAAAAAAGTATCATGGAAATGATATTACTGGATTAAGATGGATCTTGTATTGTGTTGAGAGTAAATACATTTGTACATTTCTATTGTAGTCTAGCTAGCTCCTACCTGTATGTTTTGGATTGTTTTTTTTCAGCAGTATTAGCTCTTCTCAGACTAAAATTTCCAAACTGCTTCTCCATTCAAGTCCGACATCTGCTGTCATCTGTCATTTCCAAGTGTTTTACTTTGTCTCCTGTGCACTTAACATGAGTAACCATTTTATACTTTCTGCAAAGATAAAAAAAATCTTGTTATAATCATGTGAAAATATAATAGATATAAAATTATAACCAAAATTATAATTGAAAGCCAAATTTTAATAATGATATTGCAATGAACTGTCACAGAGGCAACCTATTTTCCAATCTTTTGTATTATTTTTTCACCTTGTGTCCATTCATTGCAATTATACCATCTTGATAGACAAAGATGGAAGGATTATATGCACATAAATCTGGTTTAAGCACGACACATTGTGCTCCTGTACAGTCAGGCAGGGATCTTGACCATGTGTTGTTAGTTGTCTTTGTTTGTTCATCTTTATTTTCTCAGAGGAGATGGACCATTCTCTATCTGGCAGGTTGTCCCCAACATGCTCAACATAAACATGAAACTTAATAAATAGGCTGTTATTTTTCTTGTTTGAATTGTTTCACATTTTTCATGATGGGGCCTTTTATAGCTGACTATACAGTGTATTTTTCACAATTTTGAAGACTGTACAGTGGCTTATAATTGCTTACATCCACTTCATTTGAAAGCTGGTGGACAGTTGTCAGTGATTGAACAACAGTATATTAATATCCTCAAATTTGTAAATCATCCTCAAAATCATGATCAGCCTGAAAAGGATAAAAAGAAAACTAACAGATAAAAATGAATTCCAGTTCAGATTATTGAAAGAAAAGAAAATTTCTATATATACAGAAACTGATGCTAAAATTGATGAAAAGCTACAACTCTATCTAGTCACTGAGAAGTGCTACAATGTTTATATATAAGCAGCACATAAACAGTAACAAGAAAGGCTGTTAACCTGTGAAATTTTAGACAGCAGTAATTTCATGATTTAAAATTAACAGATTACTGAAGAAAACAGAAACTACATGAGACTAAACAGAAAACTGCACTTCCATTAGACCAGTACATCATGTCCTTACTATGAAATCACGTTCTCTCACACTTTCTCTCCCTCTCTACATACCACTCTCAATCATATACCCTCACCCTCTCAATCATTCTCTTTTTCTCCCTCCTTTTCTCACCCTTTCATGACAACCTTAGCCACCTATCACCTATTTCCCTTCTGCTTGGTGTTAAGTCCCTATCAGAAAAGTTGGTTAGTAGATGAATATAATTTTTATAAGATGTACCAGAAATGGAAGATGATTTTACAAATATGATCGAAATTTAAAAGTAACTGACATGAAATATATTAGATATATGATACTGAGCCACTTTTGAAAAATGTAGTTCTTTCATTTTCTACACAAAATGGTCATCATAGCATTCGTACAAAAGATTAACAGCCAAGGTTACAGAAAGCCAAATTGTGTAATGTAAATTTGAAAATAGAATGCTATTTTGATTGATAATCATTATGAATGCCAAAAGTGTATATTTAACTCTTAATTTTGAAGTGTTTTTGGTGTGTTGATGAAAAAATATGTTGCAAAAAATGAAAAAAATGTAAATGAAAAATGCCAAATGGTGACAAAATCCAAGTAGTTAATATTTAAAGCAAAAAGCCAAATGAAAAAATGCCAAAGTTTAAAAATGCCAAATGGTATTTAAAAAAATACCTGTCTGCTTGTACTAGCCAGCCGGCCTGTGGGTTAGCTGGACTTTAAGGTGCTAGTTCACCAAGACAAATGCCCACAGTAAGACACCTTTCTTTTCCTTTT